CCCCACCTCCACGCCCCGCAGTCGCAGCCGCAACAACCTCAACAGCCGGCTGGAGGGCAGCGCCACCGGGGCCCTGGACAGCCAGGCCGGACCCCAGACCATGGAGGTCTCCTGCTAAACCCCACCTCTAGTAACTAACATATGCCCTCTCGCTCTCTCCTTCTCTCTCTCTGCCTCTGATCCCACTCCTAGGCACCTCAACTCCAGGAGGATCTGTAATGAACTATGTGATTAGAAGAGAGGATGTAATAATTATATTAACAGATGACTATTATTAAATACTGTCTTGAATACACAGTCAGTCACATTCCTATCAGAAACCATAGCTACATTCAGATGTTGTATATTCACATAGTCAAACCCTATCATTGACTCAACTGTCCAACCTCACCCCAGTTTATTTATTTTGTTCACATCACCTTTGTTTTATTATCATTTTGTTTTCTTCTTGTCATCTTTGTCTTCACACACACTGTAGAATTCCTTCATATGTAGTTTTTTCTTTTAATAGTTTTATTATTTTAACTGATTTCTTTCAGTTATGAACTCTGTGTACATTAATTGTGAGTCATTGTTTTTTCTCTATTTTTATTCTCAGACTTGCTGCAATGCAAATTAGTCACAAAGCATAGAGAAGGGTCACTAAACCTACTGTGGCTGCAGAAATAAGATTGCAGTCTGTATTTAAAGTGATGCGGATGGTACACCGGCGAGCTGCTGCGTACTGCCGCACACTGTCAGTGAAACTACATGAGAGCCGTGGAGACGGCAACTTTTAAACAACAGAGAACATTCAGTGTTGAGGAAATGTTGTGTAGCCGTGAGTCAACTGTCACCTTACAGGCATTCTTTTGTTTTGGATTCTTTTTGTAATTGAACTCATCTCCTTTTTCTTTCTGCTTAGTGTTTTTGTTTAGTTAAATAGATTATTCAGTGACGATTTGTCAACTTTTAACAGGCAGGTTCTGGTGTGAAGAACGCGAGTGCCTTCACTGAGGGCCCCAGTGGTGCTTCTCTCACTGTCTGCTGATTCTCATCTCCTTTATATTACTACTGAATAAAGCTACAACATGATAATGTCTTGTGTGTCTGTGTCTTTGTGTTTATCAGTATAATATAATATTTTTAACTACACATAAATAGCAAGTGTGGTGACTTTATATGAATAACAGAAAAGAATGTACTTGTGTTCCTATGTCTGCTTGTGTTTGTAGAAAAGCAAGTTGACTGCGGTGAGTTAGTTTCCAACCACATGTTCTTACTTCCTGTACCCAGTGATAATTGTTGTCACAGATGAGACGGTCTATATTTAGCACATTAAAAGAACAACAGTAGTTAGCAGCTCTACAAATGAGATGTGGAGATTGACTTCAAACTGAAAAGCTGCACAGATTGTCATGAGAATCATCATTAATGTTAATCTGATGTTCATATCACCTCAGGCTTCACATCACTCTGTTCTCCATTGTGAAGGAACAGATGTAGTTGAAATGAGAAGTTTACAAATACCTTAGTTAAATACATTTAAACTTTTTCACAGCATCAGAAGCTTCTAAAGCCATGACATCATTTTCTGGAATTTTCCAAGCTGCTTAAAGGCCCGCTCAACTGAGTGCATGTAAACGTCTGACCCACTGGAACTGTCTTATAGTGAATTATAAGTGAAATAATCTGTAAACTGTTGGAAAAGTTACTTGTCATGTATAAAGTGCACGTCCTAACCAACTTGACAAAACAAGAGTTTGTTGACAAATCTGTGGAGTGGTAAAAAAAAAAAAATCAGTTTTAATGACTTTAATGATGTGAACGTCTGACTTCAACTATAAGTAGAGCATAGTGCTGCAATTGTCAATAGATGATGTATGATTTAAAAGGATAACTATTCTTTGACCATTCCACACACGAATGATTTACAGGTACAGAATGTTGTCATATTCCTCCACTACCGCTCTGTGTGAAAGACACCATAAGGAATGACTGCTGATAAATCAGGGCAGGAGTAGGCTGCCAAGGGAACCCTTCCTCATGCTTTTGCAGAGATCTCTCATCTGATGCTACCATCAATGGCAACATTTTAACATGATTGATAATAACTGAATGTAGCAAGTGCACTGGGCTGGCAGGGTAACTGTGGTCACTGTTTTTGATCTTGCAGACATCCTAGTTCAACTGTAAAATCTGAAGGCGGATTCGTGCAGTTTTCTCTGCTGTACACAAACTGTCACTGTGAAATGATGTCACTACATTAAACCCACCACACTGTACCCTGTAAACTCTGCTTACGCAGACATACAGATCATTCCATAAACAAGTGATGTACGATCAGCTCCACTTGAAAACAGCCTGCATCAGAGAGATCAACACAAGCTGTTCTGAGTCAGGATGTCAAGATGTTGAGCGTCACAGGAAGCTGCAGCAGGGTAACATACATAAAGCCCATGCAGGAAGCCGCGTCTCTTCAGTCTGCCCCCACTAAAAACAGTTGCAAAAACAGCAGTCTTCATGGGAACAGCAGATGAGGGAACAGGGTCATTTTGATTGATCAGCGGACTTGAGTTGCACACAAGTATTTTTCTTCAAGGAGAATTGGAATTTACTAGTTGCTCTGAGAATTATCTGGGTCTGTACTTTTGGACAATATCATTTCTGTGCTTATTCTAAACACAGACACCAAAGGAGGTGAGTATGCTGAATGAAATAATGATGAAGGAAGGTTTCTTTCATTCTTGGTTCTTTATGCTAAATGGCCTGACTTTTACCTCCAGAATAGAAACAAACATACTGCCTCATCACTTGTATTATATGAAATTATCAATTACTTTCACGTCTATATATGATATTTTATTAAAGTGCTGCTGCCAGTATGAAAAAGTATTATGCATCATGAGAATAAAATGCCCGTCTTTGCATTATGGTCTTACGTCTCTCTAAGGTGAAGTAGACGTTATTCCTCACAAAGAGGCAGCATGGAAATTTAACACAGGATATCAGTACCTCTTGTTGTGGTTAGGTGCCTTCCTGTCATCTAGGTTTTGCTGTCTGGTTACAAACTAGTGTACAGTACCTGTAAACTGTTTCTGAAGACACACCATGTTTTAATGATGCTCCCTCTCTCACCCTTTTTCAGCTACAACAGTCATTTCAAATCAGCCAGAAGCCAAAGAACATGGGGACCTGCCCAATCAGATGTCGATCCAACATGACAGTAATTGAAAATCCACCTGAACTTACATCACCGGGTAGGTTCAATGTGCAAGACATCAACACAAAATAAAAATAAAAAATTATAAATAGAATTTGGTTTATTATATTCATTTCCTTTTTTCTCTTGGCAGCACCTGAGGAAAGCATGATTGTATCCCTCTACAACTACCCGTCTTTCGGTCACACACAGCTGAACATGTGCGTGGGGGAAAGGCTCATTATCATGTCGGAGTACGTGGTATTCACCTTCACTTTTGTTCTCACTTAGGCAAATACAACTAGTCATGACTGCTTATTTTCTCTAACAGTGATGGTGATTTTATTATGGTGAGATCCACCACCACGGGCCGTGACAGCTACATTCCCACCAACTACGCCGCCAGAGTGACACACAGGTTAGTTGTAGTCAAGACGACATGCATGAAGACAACTGTTTCTGAGCAAGCAGAGGAGTCACTTACTTCTGCTTAAGCAAAAGTGAAATGAAAGTTCCCTGATGGGTAGGAGGAGTCTCTGTGTAGGTGACCTTTACCTCAGCGGAGACAGATGTTTGGAACAAGATTTTTGCTGTCCTCAGTGACATGACATCAGCCCCTGCCTCCTGCAGTTTCACTCCTCCTCCAGTGGGGAATTCACTCTGACATTGTTCCAATGAATTTTCCAAAACCTAAAAACAACAGCAAAATTCATTTTCTGTCTGAATGACAACCCTCTGTCCGACTAGTCTAATGTCTCCTGTGTCTTCTGTTCAGGTGGCTGTTCACAGGCACCAGCCGGTACAAAGCAGAGGAGCTGCTAATGCAGCCAAGTAACCAGACTGGAGCCTTCCTGATCAGAGAATCAGAAACAAACAGAGGTTAGAGGATTGTTGTTTTTTTTTCTTTTTAATTGAAAAACAAGATCCAAAGTATTATGTGTGTAGCAGTGTAGTTTAACTGTTGCATATGTGTTACTTCTGTCTTTAGATTGTTACTCCCTGTCCATTCTGAGGAGAACCAACACCTCACATCCAGACTGTGTGAAGCACTACCGCATCTATCTCCTGCCGAATGGCTGGCTTTACATATCCCCAAGACTCACCTTCCCCTCCCTGCATGCCCTGGTGCAGCACTATTCAGGTTTGTATTGAGGATCTAATGCTGTTTCCTTGCCTTAGTACTCCAAACCCTAAAAGAGTGATATTAAAATGTTTTCTCCTTTTACAGAGTTTGCAGACGGACTGACGTGTAGGCTGACAGTGCCTTGCTTCATCCAGGGTGTAGACAATGCTAGGCCTATACCCACAGCTATCAGGAGGCCTACTATCAACTGGAAGGAAATTAGCAGGTAGGGCAACTGCTCTCTTTGCTTCTGTCTGATTTAGAATTTTACATGAGACCCTGCCAGCATCCTGGATTGACTGATTGATAAATAAATAAATACATACATACATACATACATGCTTATCATTTTCAGTTTTTGTTGAAACTGATGACAATTGTGATTCAGTGCTGAGTAAACGGAGTGAGAAGAGTGTGCATTCAGTAGCAACAGATAAGACTGTAGCTGCACTGGGTAACTGCCAAGTTTGATTGTGTACTGTGTGAGTGTAGAGCAGGATGTTCCTGGAAATGAAGACAAGTGTTCAGTAAACCTGCCCATTATAAAAAAGGCTGGATGGCAAATACATCTTAAAAACAGATTATAACTATTTATTACAGAGTAACTCCTGTCCATGCTTACACACAAGTTCAAACTGACCCTGCATCCAACAATAATTAGGACATTTTTATCATGAAAGAAAGAAAGTGAAATTGCAGCACTGCTCATTCAGCTTTCAAATCCTTTTCTGTCTCCTCCAGGTCGGTGATCTTCAGGAGGAAAAGAACAGAGTCAGACCACTCTCTGGTGAGCGAGGGGCTGAGGGAGGCCATCAGCTCCTACCTCCAAATAACAGACGGCACTTGGGACACTTGAGGAAAGACAGTGGACCACTATGAAAGAATGAAATCAGACATATTGAGAGCAGCCAGATACTGTCCTGCCTCATCTGCACTTTGGGCAAGCCACTGGAGGAGGGTGTCTGCATGCCCAAATGTAGTCTCCATAGGCCGCCCTGGAGCTGCAAGACATCTGAGACACTACAATGCCTGGAGCTGTGACATACTGTCAGCAAGAGACTATTTGCGTGTGTGTAGGTGTGTATGTGTGTGTCCAAAGAGACACAGTGGAGGTGTGAGCTGAAAACTGAAAGTCAGTGAGACATTTATTTGTTTTCAAAAGCTGAATGTGTTTCTTATTTTATAACCTAACGTGTGTGTTTATTTTAATGCCATATTACACTTTTAGTGTATTGTAATATGATTGTTATCATGGTTATGCTATTGGAATCCAATAAAATATGGTAACTAGGCTGTGTGGAGCAACACAAATATAACCACCTAAACACAATAGAGTTTGGTCTGTGTTTTCTTGGTGTAATAATGTGTGTTATCATAGTAAACAATGTCAGTGGTATAAGCGATTGAAGCCACTTGACTCTTGCGAAATGTGGCAACTCTGCCAGAAGATGCCGCTGAATTACCTTCAATAAATCATCAAGCAGTCCACTTCCTGCACGAATACTTTAGCTCAGGAAGGAGAAATAATGGCGACGCTTCTGGGGTACGAGTCCCCTTGTACTGGAAGCAAACGGCGAAATTGTAACACAAATATTATCACAAGGTTCACGTCCAGTAAAATTACTGGCCAGGGTTTCAGTCGAGGGACACAGGTAAGACAAATGATGCATGTTTGGACAGTAAATAATCCGAAAGTTGGTCGACTGAGACCAGGGACTTGCGCTTGGAATCTAGCCTGAAAATGAAGACGTTGCCCCGGAGGCTTGATTGGAGATGCAGTCACTCCTGTCAGCTTCGGCATTAAATCTAGCTACGACATTACGGGGTCTTAATAAAACACGTGCACTAAACTTCGACTCCATTGAGTCGTGGATAATATTTTCTCGCTGACAAGCCAGCGAAGCAAGCTCGGTATCAAGTGGGTCTTTTGTTATTAGCTTCACGTTAGCTTAGCATTATAGGCCAGTTTAACTGCAATATAAAACGCTTTGAACGGAACGTTTGGTTGGATATTGTTGTTTCTATCGGGTACTTGGGTGTCAGAGTCACTAGAAAGAGGGTAGTTCACCTTTGGAAGCGTTTAAACCACCTGGTCAATGACAGTAATGTTTGCTAATATTAAAAACGGGCTAGCCTCGGCTAACCTAGCTAGGTAAGCCAGCTGAGCGGCTCAGGTGATTACGTAACGACACATTAGCCACAATAACTATCGTTTCCATAAATGGATACGCCACAGCAGCTGTGTAGACAAGTTAATGGTAGCAAGGTTATTTTTGTTTCCACACAAGCAAACGTTTGCACGGTGTTTGTAACACTGGAGTAGGTATTTGTTCGGGTAGTTTATATTTAATCTAGTTTACGTCAACTGTTTTGATTTTGTCCAGTCTGTTGACGTCGCACCTGTCATGACATTTCGAGAAATTGGTCTTATATCTGCTCTTCTTTCTTTCTTTCCCACTTGACACCTAAACGCCTGCATTGAGCATCAAATAAAACCAGTTACTTCAATGCATTTGTAACATATCTGTATATATTGCGGTGGTCCCTTTTACTTTCCTCGCTGGGGAATTGGGATGGACCATTGGTGGAGGGATGCTCTCTGAAATTGTATCTACGTAAAATAATTTGTAGACATCATTAAAGGCGAACGTCAGCATGACGTTGCTAACGTTGCTAATGTTGACTTTAGCTGTGCTGTTACTGTGGCTGGCAGCACATCCCGCACAGTGCATTCCTCACATTCACGCGGTGCTGAAGTAAAACCTTCGTCATGTTACAGATGCTTCCTTCTTGCACAAATAATTCTTACTGTAGGTTTTGCATTTTGCCGTGTCGTTATCATCTTTAGTGAAGCTATGCCAAACTTTGGCGTGTTTTCTGCAGTCAGCCATGGTCCAGGATGTAAACAGAAGCCTCTTTTCACATGCTTTCTTGACGTGCTGTGGAACAAATGATATGGCGCTAGGTCTGCGTTACAGGTCCTAGCAAATAAGTAGAACGTTTATGGACTGTAACGCTCGTTGTAGTTTATTCAGGAGCACGGTTTAAATATGCAACAATTGGGAACCGAAAGACAAAATTGAAATGTGTCTTAAGGAGTCTATGGTTCTTGGAATTTAGAGCCGGTTCTCGATACCCAACCCTAATGCTAATATAGGTGTATATAATAAACTTAATAAATAGTAGGGATGGGGCATGACTTTTTGTTGATATGATTCGATACATGATATGGTCTGGATTCGATTCAGTCACAATACAATTAAAAACTCAATGACAGCAATGTATGACTAGCTGCACAATACTTGCATTTTATGTAATGCAATGCTTGTACCCCCCCCTTTTTTCTAACACTGGTTTGATTATGTAAGAAGAACCAAACATATTGACTTAGTTCTGTTAGACTGTCTTATTTATAACAAATATGAAGTCACTGGTGTATGGAGACCACACTACAAAATGATGCATAGTGTGCCATTTTTGTATTGCAATATATTGTCCCAATCCTAATTAATAGTTGGTCAAATATGAATTATTACACTGTAGTGAGAGTTTTGTTAGTGCAGTGTTTGTCTCTGCTGTGTACATATAAAATGATATCAGCTGATTTTATTTATTTATTTATTTTTTTTTGAGGTGGATTGTCTGTGATGAATGAGTTTTAGGGAATCAGCATTTGATTATTCGGCATCTGAATGAAGAGACCTGAGTGAGTTTCTTGTTTTGATCAGATTGGTTTCCAAGGCGGGTCAGTCCCAGTTGGGTGGGTGTTGAATGGCAGTCGAGGGATTAGGATTGTTATCATACCAATCATCTGTGTGGTGAAAATAAAATGTTATTGCTTACAGAAACGGAGATAAAATGAATTTGTTTTCAGTGTAAACACGCAGTCGGAGTTCCCAGCTCATTATAAGTTTCTGCTAAGAACCATACGAGGTGCGGTATGATGTATTTTTTCCATGCATATGTCTGAAGTCATGCTTTTGTCACAGGCTTTGATTTTTAAAAGGATCACAACCAGACAGAAAAGGTTTGCATTACTCAAAGAGTTAATAAATCCTTAAGGTAAACACAGAAAATGCTCTCTTCTGTGGCCTTTCCAAAAAGCTTTATTCCATTGAGAAAAACCTCGACACACGTCAAGTAGATCCCTCTGCTGCTACTCTGGTATACTGTATGGTCAACTTTATGATTCTGCTGCACCTTAAGGCCTTGGTTTATGATACATTTGCACTCACTGATAGTGAACAAGGCTAAGACTCTCTTTGCCTATGGTTTTAGTTTTTACAGGGTCATAATAAAATCTGCTGATGTTGCTTTTACTTTCTGTTCTCCTTGCTGCAGTGGACTGCTATGAGCTGAGGTGTGGTTCCACTCTGATCTCATTTAAAAGAAGACTCAACCTTCTATTTCTTGGGCCCGTTTGTTTGTGTTAAAAGTTGCACAAGTTTTTTTTTTTTTCTGGGAAGGAAGAATAGAATGTTTTCATAAACAATATGCATTGTTTTTATATTTGATAGACCATATATGCATGTTTTATAGACCGATTGAATCACACTGTGCTTTCCTCTGTATGAAACATGCCAAAAAGACAAAAAGAAAGTTTTTAAATTATTCTTAGGATTGCAGTGTGATATCCCAGTAGTACAAGAACAAAAGGACCTTTATAACCTTTCTGAAGCAAATAACCATAGATTTTTCAGTGTGTATATTGCACTGTCTAAATGTGCCTCTGTTTGTGTGCCACAGCTCCCAGCAGGCCTGCTCCAGGAGAGGGATAAACGGGCCAAGTGGCATGGCATCCCAACTCTGCTTCAGAAGCTCTATGAGAACAGTCATCCCAATAGTGACCTCTCCGATGCCCACACTTTTCTTAAGGTACTCACACAGCATTAGCCCTTCCAGCAATAAAGCTGTGGATTACCACTGACTGAATTACTGCTGTTAGCCACTTGTTGGTGAATGTTTCACTTTGGAACCTGGGTGATGTCATTTAGATGTAAACAATGTTTTTGTCAGGTCTTATCGTCCCACCTCTCCATGGAGGCAGTGTCTTTTGTCACGGAGGACAGGAAGACCGCTCAGGAATCCACCTTCCCCAACACATACACCTTTGATCTCTTTGGTGGAGTTGATGTAAGTTTGATGTTCCTGTTGCCTGATGGCCTGTTATAATTGACTCTAGGAAACATAAACTTGTTAAGAATCAGTTGTTACATGTAGCACAACTCGTACTGACACACTGTAGAAGAAATAGTATTGAATGTGTGTTTTCCTGTTTCCCTGAAGCTGCTTGTGGAGATTTTGATGAGACCCACACTAACTATGCAGAAGAAAAAACCCAAAAGTAAGTAGGGCTGATATCACATCTGTACACACATCTGCATTTAATGGGATGGTAACATGTTTTTACATGAAAATAATTTGCTTAACTTTCATGATAATGTCTCTGTTTCAACAGTGAATGATGACTTGGTCAAGGACTGCCTTAGTATTCTCTACAACTGTTGTATATGTGTAAGCATCCTCTTACATTTTGTGTGTATCAGAGATGTCGGTGGTACATCAGAGCTAGCATTCAACTTAGCACATGTCTATAATTTATAACGGGGTCATTTGTACAGACAGGTATGGACAGGATTTAATTAATGTGCATATTTTCTTATTTTGCTTTATAGACGGAGAGGGTCACAAAGAGCCTTGCAGCAAGGGATGACTTTGTTCTCTTTCTTTTCACCCTGATGACAAACAAGAAGACCTTCCTACAGACAGCTACCCTAATTGAAGATATTCTTGGAGTCAAAAAGGTCAGTGTTATACTTGGATTAAAACCTCAGCACGAACATTAAACACCATTTATGGTTCTGTTATAAGGCACGTGAGGTCACTTGAAGCAGTGCCATTTGGGAGGCCAGCGATGTTCTTAGAACTGACACTACTGATCAGTCAAATTAATGATTACTCTTAATTTTTCTGTGAAAATTTTAGTCTTTAAATCTTTGTTGCTGTGCAGAAAAATTGAATTTTCTGCTGACTTTGTTATCCATGTACAGACGCGTTTAATGTTCGAATGTTTATGCTGAGCTACTCTGCTAACATACCTGTGCCTTCATTTTAAAATGACACTGTGCTTGAACTTCTGCTAATTAGTGATTTTAAAACTTGCGCCACTGTCTTGATTAGCTTTATGTTGTGGAAATTTTGTGATTTACCAGGATGCTTTGCTAATGTTTTTCACATTCTCATGAAATGAACACAGTTATTTGAGATCATAGTGGTATTACTTTTTTATCTTTTTTGGACATGAACCTTTTTTATTTATTTTTCAAATTATTATTTTATGGGATAAGTGGGTCACAGAGAGGCAGGCAGGAAAGAGGGGAGACAGAGGAGCGGACCTGCAACATCAACGTCATTCACGCTGTGCTGCGTATATAGTGCCTCGCACTGTAACCATTAGGCTATTGTGGCGCCCTGCACTCATAGTGGTATTACTAAGTCTTCTAAATGTTTCAGTCATGCTGCTTCACCAAGTGTATGCAGAGGCATAAAAGACACACTAATGTAGCTTGTGCTCCAAATAACAGTTGTATCCTGCAACATTGTGACAGAGGTATAATTCTGCTTTAAGGCCACTTAAATTTGCTATAAGAAATGTATCAGCACAAAGGGCAGAAAAAGATGCTCCTCACAGTCTTGACTAGAATAAAAAGTGGTTTAGATCTGTCGCTTGTTTACTTGTCCTTCATATAGTTATTAGAGATAGTAAAAAAAAAAAAAAAGTGAAATTAGCAGCAAGCAAAGAGATTTGTTTTCAAAAACCTGTTACAGGAATTAAGCATTTAGTTTATGAAAGCACACATCCTTCTTTGTGACTATAACTTAGAGCCCATGGCATGCTCATTTTGCTTATTTTTAGCCATATAATGTTTAATCCTGAGTACCTCTAGATTAACTTTGCACCCCTCATAACTAGTCTGTAATTATTTCAGAATGATAAAACTCAAGAGTCTCTTCCTAAGAACAAGAGCAGAGTTCGTGAACATGCACAACTCCTGGTGTCAGCGTTGCGTTGAAAGTGGACAGTACAGCAAATCACAACACCATTAATTAATTTGAATTTCTCCTCCACAGATAGAGAAACAACGGTATATGTACCGATGAAGAGATGCGTAACCCGCTAAACACATTGGGTAATTGAGAAACCCCATATTTTATCTGGCATAATGCAGACATAGTAACTTCTCCAGCCTTACAACAATTCTCTCTAACGTTACAGAAACAAGGCATTAATAGACATGCAACGTGTGGGTTTTTTCTTTTTTTTATTATCTTACTGTTAAGTCCCATCGCGTAGTGGAAACATCACTCCCTTTCAAGTAGCTCCAAGGTCGGTAAATCCAATTTGTGGTCACTGCGTCTTCCCCCACATGATCACATACAGTCCTAAAGTAATGAAATTAATTCTAATAGGTAGTGTAGCACCAGCAATAACAACATGGGTCCTTAATCCGCTCATTTACCAGCAACACATCACATGGTGCAGACATACTGGCCTCAAGCAGTCAAAACAAACGGGTACTGTGCTCCAGGGTTAATGAGCTGGTCATTCACCGACCGTGCTTCACTGACCGGCTGTTTGTAGGCTAGACCTGGATAGGCAAAACAGCGAGTCCCTGTACAGGAACATTCCTGGACATGCAGTAACCTCAGGCCCTGTATTTTTCCCCACATCCTCTGGTCACAGTACAGCAGCAGGAGGTCAAATATATCAGCATCTTGAGACAATGAATTTGGCTCTGGTAACGCATCCTGAGCATGTCAACATTTTAGGTGAAATTATATCAACACAGCATGTGTAGTTCACTGGCAAAAAAAATGAAATATTACTACAGTCATGGTGTGAAATAACATATACATGTCACAACTGACACAATATTGTAATCTATTTATTTACATTTAGCCATGAATTAATCTACTGAAAGATGGAGAAAACCCTGTTAGTTTTAGCCAATTCATTTGCAGTTAGTCTCAAAACCTGGTGAGTAAACGTGGTGTGTGTGTGTGTGTGTGTTGTGCCTTTTAGTTTGCTAATGTTTGATGTGTTTACATTTTTCAGGAGATGATCCAGTTAGAGGGCATTCCAGACCTGTCAAGTCTGGTCCAAAGCTTTGACCAACAGCAGTTGGCCAACTTCTGCCGCATCCTGTCTGTCACCATCTCAGAACCTGATGTAGGAAATGATGACAAGCACACTCTGCTAGCAAAGAATGCCCAGCAGAAACGCAAAGCCAGCCCCTCGCGGGCAGAAGTCAACCAGGGTAACTTCTCTTCAGAGTACAAACAGAATCTATAATGTATTGTAGAGTAGGAGTAAGAGTACAACTTTTGTGTTGTTGCAAAAGAATGGATCAGAAAATTATGACTTACT